CTCACGGTCTCTCCTGCCCGGGCTGGCTTTGAACCTCGATCCTCAGATCTCAGCCTCCTGAGTAGCTAGGATTACAGGCGTGAGCCACCAGCGTGCGGCCATATAACAAAACTTTTTTTCCCCCTTTTTGTCAGTCCTGGAGCTTGAACTCATGGACTCTCATGGATTTTCCTTCCCTGGCTGCCTTTAAACCCTGATTCTCACATCTCAGCCTGCTGAGTAGCTAGGGTTACAGGCGTGAGCCACCAGCGCCCAGCCAAAATTTTTTCTGTATTGTAAAAAAATTTTTTTTTAATTGTCCTAAATGATGGGCTGGGAAGGTGGCTCAGTGGTAGAGCCCTTGCCTTGCATGCCTGAGGCCCTGGGTTCGATTCCTCAACACCACATAAGCAAAAAGAAAAAAGCCGGAAGTGGCGCTGTGGCTCAAGTGGTAGAGCGCTAGCCTTGAGCTGAAGAGCTGAGGGACAGTGCCCAGGCCCAGAGTTCAGGCCCCACCACTGGACCCAAAAAAAAAAGAAAATTGTCCTAAATGCGATTGGCTTGATTATGCTAGAATGTGAAGAAGGCAATATAGGGAAAAATTGAAAAGTATCATAAAGGATCTGAGAAACCTGTAAAAGGTTTGGAAAAGATTGATCTCATGAAAGAAATTGGGCATGTAATTAAGATAAAAGACAGCCTGGCCCAGAGGCTCACCGTGTAATCCCAGCCAATTGGGATGCAGAGATTGAGGAGGATAGTGGTTCCAGCCTAGCCCAAACAAAAAGCTAGCAAGACCCTATCTCAAGTTTGATATGGTGGTATGCTTATATAATCCCACTTGCTCTGGATGCTGTAGGATCACTGTCCAAGGCCACCCTGGGCAAAAGTACCAGATCGTATTTGAAAAACACAAAAGGACACGGCCATTGAAGGATAGTCAAAGCCTAGCTACAACAAACACAAGCAAAGACCTACCTACAGGGTGATTGATCGAGATAATGCTTGCACACTAGCCTGGAGCACAAAAGTTTAGAGACAGCACCCAGGCCCTGGAGTTGCACAGAAACAAAAAACAATACTTTCAGCAATCAATGACCACCATGTCTACTGACCGTGTAGGGAAAAGGTAAGGACTAGGAATGTGGCTTACTGGTAAAATGCTTGCCTCATGTGCATGAAGCCCTGGGTTCAATTCCTTGATACCACATAAACAAAAATAAAACATAACATGAATATAATACAAAGAATTTGGTGCAATTATTGTGTCATAACAAGAATCTACAATGTGTTAGTCTCAGAACTATATATTGAATTAGCAGTTTTACCATATGTAATTTTGTGTGGGCTTAAACACAGGGCCTGGGTAATGTCCCGTAGCTTTTTCAGTTAAGGCTAACAGCCACTTGCCACAGCTCCACTTGCAGGTTTTTGGTAGTTAATTGAAGATAAGAGACTCACAGACTTGCCTGCCTGGACTGGCATCAAACAGTGAAACTCAATCCTCGGATCTCAGCCTCCTGAGTAGCTAGGATTACAGCCATGAGCCATGGTGCCTGATGTGCCATTTCTTTTCTTTCTTTTTTTTTTTTTTTTTCTGGTTCTTGGGCTTAAACTCAGGGCCTGGGAATTGTCCCTGAGCCTCTTTGTGCTCAAGGCTAGTACTCTAAAACTTAAGCCATAGAGCCAGAAGCTGGTGGCTCACGCCTGTAATCCTAGCTACTCAGAAGGCTGAGATCTGAGGATCGAGGTTCAGAGCCAGCCCGGGCAGGAAAGTTCGTGAGACTCTTATCTCCAATAAACTACTAGAAAACCGGAAGTGGCACTGTGGCTCAAGTGGTAGAGCGCTCACCTTAAGCTGAAGAGCGTAGGGACAGCACCCAAGCCCAGAGTTCAAGCCCCATGACAGACACAAAAGCAAAAAAACTTAAGCCATAGACAGTGAAATAAGAGTCTCATGGACTTTTCTGCCTGGACTGGCTTCAAGCTGAATCTTGATCCTCAGATCTCAGCCTCCTTAGTAGCTAGAATTACAGATTTAAGCTCCAGTGCCTGGCTTTTTTTTTTTTTCCTAATTTTTTATTTTTTTATGTGGTACTGAGGAATCAAACTCTACCACTAATCCACATTCCAAACCTAGGTATGCCATTTCTTTCCTTTTTTTTTTTGGTCTGTTGTGGGGTTTGAACTCAGGGCCTAGGTGCTGCCCATAAGCCTCTCTGTGCTCAAGACTAACATTCTACCAGTTGAGCCACAGTACCACTTCTAGTTTTTGAGTGGTTAATTGTAGGTAAGAGTGTTTCCTGCCTGGGCTGGCTTCGAACTGCAATTCTCATATCTCAGCCTTCTGAGTAGCTAGAGCCACCACTGCCCAGCTGCCATTTATTAATGTTATGCAATAGAGTGTCAACCGGTATTCCCACAAACCAAATAGGTTTTTACTGTGCACATTTTACATATGATGAAACTTAAGACTCAAAAGAAGGGGAGCAAGGTTGGAGGCTTGGCTTAGTTGGTAGAGCACTAGCCAATGAGTAAAATCGGCAGGTACTGAGTATGAGCCCTGGTCTCAGATCTTGAGAGGGAGGGGTGGAGGAGAGGAAGCAACCTGTCAAAGTCTCAGTGAATCTGTTGGCAGAGCCAGAACCATCTAACTTCCAATCCCACCTGCTCACACTGGACTCTCCTAGCAGACTGGGTACACTGAGTAAGACTTTGTCAGATTCATGTCAAATCACAACTCATACATTCAGTATTCATTCATGTGGTGGTCCTGGACCTGTGCACTTCAATCTTGATTAAGAGCTGGTGATGAAATGAGATAGAATCAGAGCTGAGATATACTTCTAAGATTCAAGGTTTTAATGCCACCTCACCTAAGGCCTCAGTGCCCTCTCAGTGACCTAAGCCACATTTTTTTGTTTTTTGGGTTTTTTTTGGTCAGTCATGGGGCTTGAACTCTAGGCCTGGTTGCTGTCCCTGCACTCTTCAGTTCAAGGTGAGTGCTCTACTGCTGAGCCACAGCGCCACTTCTAGTTTCCTAGTGGTTTATTGGAGATAAGAGTGTCATGGACTTTCCTTCCCGGACTGGCTTTGAACTGTGATCCTCAGATCTCAGCCTCCTGAGTAGCTAGGATTATAGGTGTGAGCCACCGGAGCCCAGCTAAGCCACATCTTTCTACCTTGAAGGAGAGCAGGCAGGCTTCAGAATAGATGACCACAGAAGAAGCCTCACTCCCTCTGTGCGGAGATTGGGCTTGCCTAGCCTGTGCCTGTACAAAAAGAAGTGTCTGAGCATCAGATGCTAAGACCTATGATCTCTATATCTCTGCCACACAGTGCCAGCCTGCCAATAGGAGCTAAGAAGCAATAAACAATACAGGTTGGTAGAAGACTATCATGGGCCTGGGTGCCAGTGGCTCACACCTGTAATCCTAGCTACTCAGGAGGCTGAGATCTGAGGATCACTGTTCAAAGTGAGTCTGGGCAAAAAATTTCCTGATATTCTTATCTTCAATTAACCACCAGAAAAGCCAGAAGTGGAGCTGTGGTTCAAATGATAAATTTCCAGCCTTGAGCTCAAAACCATAGGGTTAGTGCCCAGGCCCTGAGTTCAAGCCCCAGGACTGGCATACACACAGACACACAAAGAATGTCAGAGGAGCATGTTTGAGCAATATCTGAGAAATCTGAGACACTGTCAGATCTGGGGAAGAAAGAAATATTGATGCCTATGTAGTAGAATCAGGCAGGTTAAAATGTGAGAGAATTATTCAAGTGGAGAATCAGCATATGTAAAGGCCCAG